CTCATAAAACACACACAAACACATCCGTTTCAGACAACCAGCCAATCGGCGTCAAATGGTGGACCATTCCGGAAAACACAATACGTTTCCATTGGGAACCAGACAGTGAGGCGGTCAGAGTTGTGGTTGTTGATGACGACCGCGAGAAATGTTATACAAATTTTGTAAGATAAAGCGGCTCGAACAGAGTAAGACAAACTATGCACTCGCAATCCTATTTTCCGCTTAACCCCGCATTTCACCGGCTACGTAACAGTTGTTGTTGTTGGTGGTGGTGGTGGTGCTGGCCAAATGGTTAGGTCACCAAATTGTCACTCGGGAGTCCCGGATTTGAGCCGCTCCGCCGCTAACCGTCTATTCCATTTCTTTAATTTCTCAGATATTTGTTATCACCATGGATGCCTCCGTTTTTCATCGAAATATTCAAAAGACTATTATGCAAAATGCACAATGCGTATACAGAAGAAACTGACACACACGCTGGTCTACTTTTTCAATACACGATTATAAACTGAACTGAAAAGTTTGTTACTGGCTATTAATTTAGGATTCTGTACTACGGCTGAAAAGATACACTGTTATTACGACGGGACAGTCTTCACTGTTCGGACACGAACCGTGCAAACTCGAACTCTGCTGTGAGCATGGTGATATACGACGCGATATCCCATCACATCGTGGATGGGGATCGGAGCATTGAAGGGCGCGCGTGGCAGGGTGAGTGATCAAACGCGGCAAAAGCAGTTATGAACAAACAGTGACGGTGCTCGGGGACGTGATAGATTTTTACCTGGTTAGACAATATTCGCACTGTGATGTGAAGATCGTGCTGTATCGACTCGATATGATGCTTTGAAAGACATGAATGAGACACACAGTTGGCTACAAATTTGCTTGGGTTACCACTCTTGCCATAGATACATAAATTCCTATGGTACAATTTCCAACAAAACGATTACTTGCTCAAGTTGTCACTCAATAGCCAAGACAGGGTACATCATTTTCAGCGAGTGCATCGAGCTCTTGCTGTCAGTGTGTGTCGATATGTGCACCACTTGGAACATTGCTCTTTCGTCTCACAACTGTTAAATCTTTCGAGTGCAGACTTGATGAAAATCCTGGCACAAATCACATTCCAAGCACTAGTAAAAACGCGAAACATTTAAAAACTGCACCATCATGACAAAAAACCCCTCTCTCTATCTTATCAAGAAATGATTGAACTATGAAAACCTACGGGGCGGGCATGCGAACAATTCTCATGATAAAATTTTCACTTTGCGGTGAATGTAGCTCAGCTACGAATATAGACTTCACGATCCAGTAGTAAAACAGCCTCGAACAGTGCTGAAAACCCCGTTATCTATCCTGTTTCACACTCCAGTGGAAAATAAATCAAGCATGAATAGACTCGTCAGGATCGCACTACATTGCGTGAAATAAACCGGGCTCCAGTCGAAGAGCTGGATAAATCACAAAAATGTACATCATTGACAAGTCTCTTCGGGGACAACTAGTTATTCAATGATTCCATTAGTAATCCAATTAAACATGCCGCATTATTGATCAGATTCGACCGAACCGATCTAATATGTTAGATTGCGTACGTTGACCATAGCCGAGGACATCTGTATTAGACATTTGACCCCCTGACCCAGGTGCCCAGAAACGTCTAATCCATACTTTCCATCTCCCCTGAGCTCGTGAATCCACCCCTCCTCCCTGTCCACTCAAACACACATTTTCACACAATAATACTGATCTCTAAGCACTGGGTCAGTTCGACAAACGTGACGTAACTGAAAACCCCGGAAGCACAGATCCGAGGATGCGTTGTGCAACACACACACACACACACACAAAGTGATCGGTTCCTCCCATATTAATGTTATCCTGCGAACCCCTAGGTTTTATCCCCATATAGGTATATATTTATAATATAATATAATATGTATTGTGTTGTACCCGCTACAATGCAACAGGTTTATGATTTCATTCTATATTTGGTGCTTAGGTTTTTCTTATGATAAGAAATATCGTTTGGAGATTGCAAAGGACAATTTATCGTTGCAGACAATAATCGGCATTTTCAATTACCTTCAGATCCGCGAGGAAATCCGATAATCGATAGGTGTCCCAATTGGTCGGAGCGGGCACAATCCACAGATCCCACAGTGTGAATTCCACCCCGTTCGGCAATCGAGTACGGGCACAACTGCCCGGTTCACTGAGTAAGATTAACGGTAGAGCCAGATTGAGAAACGCATTTCGCGCGTCCAGTGCTCCCGGGGGTGGCACAAGTGGAGCCGTGTTGTGCTCCGTCGCATCCGCGG